TTTTCCATTCATATACCATGTGCCTACTACATGGCAGGAATGTTTTAAGCATTTTGGGGAGGAAGTATTCACCAAAAAAGAAGATATAACCCTTGTTCTCAAACAACTGACTGATCAGTTAATGACACAATAATAATGTTAGGTGCTGAAAAAGCCTCAAGGATGGGGGGGGGCGGGGGTAACTAACTCTACTTACATTAACCAGAACACACTTCCTAGAAAATATTTAAGTAGGGCCTAAATGTTTCCCAGACAAAAGGAGAAGAATAATCCAAGTAGAGGAAAGAGTAAAATGCAGGCACAAATACAATGAAACCAGGTGTCCCTCTGAATCCATGGGTTCCACATATACAGGTCTGTAGCTTCAGTTTCAACCAACTGCAGATCAAAACTGTTCTTTAAAAAACTAACAGCAGTATGAACATGTAGGGCAATGGTGGCCAACCCGTGGCAGTGCCCCACAGCAGGCTGTTTGTATCACTGAAAAGCTCTGCTACTGTGTTTTTCTTTTAATGTATGAATTGCTTCTTCTAAACTAAAGCCTCAGTATTTCAGGTTTAATTGCAGTGTCGGTACTTTGCAATAAATAAGGGGGTTTTGGGTTGCAGTTTGGACACGCGGTCTCTAAAGGTTCGCCATCACTGATGTAGGGACATCTTTTTCTTGTCATTAGTCCTAAATGATAATATAATAATTTACATAGCATTTTAATTGTATTAGCTGTAAATAACCTAGACATAATTTAAAGTACTCAGGAAGATGTTCCAGATTATATGCAAATACTGCCCTATTTTACATAAAGGACTTGAGCATCTACAGACAGTTGCTATTCAGGGAGGGTCCGGAAACCAATCCCCCACAGACACTGAGGGATGACTGCATATACATGTACACACACACAAATAAACACTGAAGTATGCATGCACATTATATACATGGAAGCACAGTGTTTGGATACAAATGAAGGAAGTCACATGAACCACAAAAGACAGAAAATGTAATTGACTATTTCCCAAATCTCCACAAGATGATATATAATTAACACTACGCGTAGGAGAAAAGTCAGTTCATTCCAATTTCAGACTTAGGGCACTGGGGCTTAGTTCTCTCCCAGAAATAAGGGGCCATTTCCACAATTCCCTGCAACTGTGACCATCAAAAACATCTCCAAATATCGCCAATGTCCCCTGGGAATACTGTTACAGACTATTATGTGCCAGGCACTGATCCTGCTTCTCATTTCCCAAACTAAACTCATAGATAAACGAGCATTCTTAAAGTACTGACTGCACAGCGCTAACTCTAGGAACTAGGTGGTTCAAAGAAAAGGAAACTACCGTTTATTAAGGATCTGGCTACAGGACCTTTTTCATACATTACCTCTGAAATCTCACAACATCCCTGTAAGCAGGTATTATCTTTTATTTTTCCCGTGAAGGAGCTCAGACCCAGAATAGAGAGAGAAGTGATCCCAACTTTAAAAGGTTCATATATTTAAATTAAATATACATATATATTTTAGAAGACATTAAGCAAGTTAAATATCTGTTAACAATAACTAGAAAGTAGGAAACACAGATGGGAAAAAGAAAAGTACACTGCTAAATTAGTCAAAGGATATGACTTTAAAGAGGTTTCTAGTAACCCCTTTCTTAAGAAAATGACATACATGAGCAAAAAGTGAGAAGCTGGGAACAATGAAAGGCAAGTTCTGGGGCCAGCAAAGAAAGTTTTAAAAAGACTTCAGGCAACTTGAGACAATTTAAATCATAATTCAAAGAAAAGACAAAGACTATAAGGCTACCTTAAAATTAGGATCCAGCTGCAGCTAGAGACAATGAGGTCCCTCTATGCATTAGGGTACTCTTGCCACCAAACACTTAAAGCACAAGAACAAAAACAGAAAAGATTTAAGCTGAGTGTGGTAACACATGCATTCTGGGAGGATGAGGCAGGAGAATCCCAAGTCTGGACCCAGCCTGGGCAACTTAGGGAGACACTGTTTCAAAATAAAAAGTTAAAATGGGGTGAGAATGTACCTCAGCGTGAAAGCCCTAGGTTCAATCCCCAATACTTAAGGAGAAAAAAAAGATTTAAAGGTGAAAGCTGGTACAGTGGGCTAATGGCAGCTTCACCCTATAAAGTCCAACAACCAAACTTTCTAAGATGAATGAAGGACCAATTATTTTGCTTTATTTTTGTTTGTTTTGTCTCCTCAACCTGAAAGCAAATAATTTTATGTTTTGTTCACTTATCAGTAATGGTGAACCTTTTAGGGACCGAGTGCCCAAATTGCAACCCAAAACCCACTTATTTATTGCAAAGTGCCAACACTGTAATTAAACCTGAATACTGAAGTTTTAGTTTAGAAAAAACATCTCATACATTAAAAGAAATAATAACAGAGCTTTCAATGATACAAACAGCCCACTGCAGCACACGTGCCTTAGGTTCGCCACCCCTGAGTCTTAGACCACTGCCTGGCATTTAGTAAGGTGTTCAGAAAACATATGCTGCTAAATAAAGGCAATATTCAAAACAGTGACACACTCAGGAGCAAAGGCCACACAAATGCCTTGAACAATCACCTAACACTGCGCTACTTCTTTATCATCATTGTAGCAATGGCATTTATTGAGTGCTAAGCCAGATGCTGTGCTAAGAGCTCCTGTACACCATCTCTCTCAGTCCTCTTACTTACCCTATGGAGGAGGCAGGTACTATCATTATCACGCCAGCTTTACAGGAAACGCAGACAGAATTAATAACGTGTCCAAGGTCACAAAGCAGCAGGGCTGCAACCTGAGGGTACCAATTCCAAAGTTTCTCTCAACTACTGTGTCGCATACACAATTATAAACGTCCCTCTCAGGGAAATCTAGGGAAATATCACTAACAAGGAATTAAAGACAACAAAACAAACAAAAATTCCACCATGCCTCAAAAACCATTAGTCTGTCCCTTTTAGTACATACAGTGGAAATTTTCCCACCCTAGGATACACTGATTTTCCCACACAGATTAAAAATTCAATGGTTTAAAGAATCCAAATGTTGAAAAGCATGAACAAGAATCAGTCATCTAATCAACATTTCAAAGGGCAGTAGATAACAAACCTTAACACCCCAAATCCACAACCCAAAGAAATAACAGGGTGTGACCTCTGACTCACTGACCTCCAAACTTCCTGAGACATTCTCCCAGGGCTCAGCCTCTTCATCCCTCCTTCCTGTGCTGAGTACTTCTCCCCTCTTCCACATTCCATCTCCCCTCTCCTATTAGATGGCCTTTATTTAAGAAAAAATGGAATTTTGTGTTTCCTGCTCTAAATTTAATCTAGTTATTAAAATTTATCTTTCTCTGATGGAAAAAGATTCTCCCTAAGGTTCCCCACTTATTGATCAGTATTCCTGTTTATATTATCAAATTCACACAGTAGTCAATTGAGACCACCAGTCATGCAAAAGAAAACTGATGACCCAAATATTTACCTCTATAACCTCCTAGTATTACATCCATAAGAAGTTAGCACCAAAAAAATCAAATTCTATGTTCTACTCCCCGTTTAGTCAGCAATCTATTCATAATTATAAAATTCTTTTGTAAAAATCTATGAAATAAAAAGATCCCTAGAGACATAGGTCTAATTGCTACTAACAAAGAAAAATACGAAATACTGAATCTTTAAAAAAAACTATTCATTAAATTCACCATCTAACCAGAGATTCATCAGCAGAGAAAGCAACCTAATTTCTGCATTTACACTAAAATCAAAAACAAACCCTAAGATTTAAAGAGAAGTTAGAAAATAAAAATAAGAGCTATCAAGATAATCAGTACTAAGAGGTAGATCTCAATCTTTTTTCTTACCTGTGGATTTTATATACTTAAATAAACAGTTCTAGTAAATAAAACAGACTACGAAGCATTGATTAACTGGTTCAAGACAAATATTTTCCAAATACAAAAATGATCAAGAAGCATTTATTCCTTGTACTGGCCAGTGAAACAGATTGTTCCAGGATTGAAAGAAAAAGGGTTGCTGAAAACTGATCTTGTACTTAATAAAAACTAAGCACAAACGAGACTATTTTAAAAAAACGTGTTAATCCTCTTATGAAAAAAAACTAAAATTAAGTAGTTAATAACAACATGCTCACCCAAATAAAATTATTTCAGTCTTAACTTGAAATGTAAGTGACATACATAAAACTTTTATTTGGCTTCATGATTTTTTTCTTTCCAAGGGTTAAAGAGATGGACAGTTAAAAGAGCTGTTAACTGAATTACATTTTGATATTTCCAAACCGTCACTTTTAACCACAATTACTATTACAGGTAATCACGAGTTATTTACAAAAAAATTTTGTCCTGGTCTATGCACTACTGAAGTTTCTGGAAATGAATTCAAAATCTAGTTACATTCAAATTAGTCTTTCTTTTTATAAAGACATAACAGTTCTATCATCTCTCTAGTTTTTAAGACTTTTTTAAAAACTTAATGACTCATACTTATTTTAGATGCTTTTGAAAGCACTGTAGTATTACTTGTACTTCAATATTACTTGTCAAATTAAAGTGTTCAATTTAACTGGACAATACAAAGCCTGACTTTACTCTTCTACTTACATCACACTTTAAAAGATATGAAAAAATAAATTAACAATTTGGATCATATACTATATGCCAGGCACTAGGCTATGAGCTTTGTATATTATTTTATATTATCTCATTTAATCCTAGCAACAACCCCATGGAAGATGTCTCCGCCATCAATAGGTACTGAAACCAACATTAAAAGACTAACTAGGTTGTCTGAGGCCATCCCTCCGCAACTGAGCCTTCTGCCTGGAAAGTATGAAGGTTTTTCACTAGGTAAATGAGACATAAACTATCAACCTTGTTCCTCGTTCCATGTATGAAAGTTTTCAACCACTGGGTAGTTATAAATTACTCATTCGAGATTTCACCAATTGTTGTATGTTTAGGGTTCATTCAAGATGCCGTAAGACGAAAAAGCCAGAAAAAAACACAGCATCTTATCCAATGGTGATCCTCTCAGAAAGGCTGAGAAGTGACACTGAAAATATTATGCACTATCTTTTAAGATTTCCTAAATTCCAAAGCAGACACACAGAAAAATACATCTAACCTAATATACTAGGTACACAAATAAACGTACAAATAAATAAAAACACAGGGGGGAAAAAATACCACCTTCTTCCGAAAGCCACCCAGATTTCCAGTAGCTATCTTTCAGCTGAAAAGAAAGGGCAGAGCCTGTACAGCGTAGCAACAGAAAGTGCACAATACCTGACTTATCCACCAGCTGGCCCTTAGGTCTAATGGGGAAAAGCAAAAGATAAGATACTTGGGCAAAAACGTCTCTTGTGCATTGTTGTTTATTTTTCTTTTTCAATTACATGCATGGCAGGATAATAAGACACAAATTCTGGTCCTCATGTTTTCCCCTATTAGCTAACCATTTTAGAGAAATCAAGTGTCACTCAAAAATTTTTAAGAAACATTTTAGAAAATTTTGTCATACATTAGTTTCTCATTCCAATATCCAGGTTAAGTATTCAGTAATTGTAAATGTTCCCTCAAATATTTCACAATTTTGAAAGTATAACAGGAATATATTTGTGTATAAAAATATAATTACTAGAAAATATATCTATTTGTTCAGGAAATTTCATACATTTAGGAAATACATTCAAATTAATTAAACACGATATGAAAGGTATCATGAGAAAGTATCAATGAAGTATCACCAGAAAGTAGCAAAAATCTAAAAATACATTAAAGCATGCTTCATGGAAGAAAAGCTTCAAAATAGATTTAACAGCATGAGTTTATTATTTGAAGGCAACTTTACTCAATTTGCATTTCATGACACCACCATCTTTTTCCCTGTCTGCCACAACAGTCATGAAAACAGAACATTCCTTTTGGAATATTTGCAGATATGCGATGAAGACCCTGTGTCTTCTAAGTTGCAACCCATCCTTAAGCTTGAGAAAATGATAAAATTACTTGAAAAGACACAAATTAAAAAGGAAGATTTTTAAAGAACAAAGTAACAATTCTCACCAAATGAACATGAAAGCAACATTACAGTGATCCTCTAAAAAGCTATATCACAATTGTCAGGGCTGCCCACTCGGGACCCCTCCTGCCCCTCAGGAGCTTTCCTATCAATAAATATCTTCCTACTTTTAAAAAACTGTCAGATGATAGATGTACATTTTTTAAGGGAAGAGAAATTGAAGTTATACCTACAGACATACAGATGACCCTCAGTGTCTACAATCCAACCAACAAGGGATAGAAAATATTCAGGAAAAAAAGTGTCTATGTACTGGATTGAAAGTGTACAGAGTTTGTTTCTCCTCATTCCCCACACTATGCCAAGTAACAACTACTTACATAGCATTTACATTGTATTACACATTATAAGCAATTATAAGATGATTTAAAGTATATGGGGGGATGTGTATAGGTTATATGCAAAAACTACTTTATTTTATGGAAGTGACATTTTTGGTATTCACAGGGGTCCTAGAACCAATTTCCCACAGATAGAATGGGATGACTGTACTAGATAAAAGCATGTTTAAAGCTAATTAAAAAGAGATCATAATTGCAAGAACAGTCTCCTCCCTTGCAATAAATAGGAGAACTCGATATCAGATTTATGAAACTAGGGTAAATATACCACCACCAATACAGGTATTTGTTGACATATGAAACAAATAGTCTGATATTAACTGTAATGTAAAAATTGCACAAAGTGAATTCTTTCTGGACAAAATATTTGAGATGCGTTCACCCTTAAGTATATAGCAAAGCTGTCTAAAATACACACTTAAATGATTTACATGGTTTGTTAATAACTGAAATTAACAAAACAAAAATAATTGTGAAGTCAGTAAGTCCTAGTCATTGCAAGAGAGTAAGTCTTTAAAAGGTAGAAGTATTGAAACTTTATGTTCTTACAATTTGATTCTTTTTATCCAATTCAAACCAACCACAAATACTTTAAACTATACATTCAAAATAAATGTTTTACGATTTATTTTCAGAGTCCATAAGCTTCTTCACAGACACTTTGGGCCATGATACAAAACCAGCATATCCCTATATTGCCAAGGATGGCATCTTTGAATACTTTTTAGCTGCCCCCCTAGAAATGGCATCACCCCTGCTCCTCAATCCACAGCTTCCATTGCTCTGAAGGCAAAAGTATAGTGAAGAGTAGACTCTGCTTTCTGTAGAACCATTACAAGACAGCCTGGAGGAGCACATCTCATCTAAAAGGGCCACCTAAAATAGCCAGTTCTTCGCTGTCGTGTAATGAAGCTCATACTTTAAGCTGGTGGATTTGACAGTTACTTTATACCCACGGTATGTAAACTACAGCTTATAGGCCAAATCAATGTCCCTCTTGCTTTTATGAATGAGATTACATTAAAACCCAGTCACACATGTGCTTCTGTACATCTTTGGCTGCTTTCACACTTCAAGAGAAAATGTGACCCACAAACCTAAAATATCAACTGGCCAACACTCTCTACACAATGAGATGTCAGAGGTACCACAGGACTTTTCTAAAGTCTTGGTGTCATCTAGTGCTGAGGCACACACAAATACACACGCAGAATTCTCTAATCATATTACTCCCAAAGCTGCAAGGCAAGGCACGCAGAAGTTACCACTCCCTACTATCACGGAGTCCCACCAGTCCTACTGTACTAGTAAATCATGTTAACCCTAAATTTAGCTTTCCTTTAAATTCATCTAAACACATGAAGCTACATGACTTCATTTGCACAAGAAATACTGTAGAAGAAAGAAAGAAGGGCCCCAATAGAATATAAACCAACTCCTAACCCTTTACCCTAGACTCTTCTTAGTCCTATCTCCCTGTCAAAATACTCCTTTCCAAGAGGGTTATGCCAAGAGCATTCGCCTAAGAAGCCAAAGAAGCACCAGGAAGGTACTTCTGTCAAACTAAGGATTGTGTATTTCTACTCACAATCCTTAACCTTTATTAAAGTTAACACCAAATGCTAGCCGCAAAGATGTATAAATCTTTTAAGTGCCAAGTTGTTTTTCAATTAAAAAGTTTTAAAACTAAAATATTTTCAACACTGCTGTGCCAACACAGGGATATCCCCTCCATTGTACGGGACACAAAGACACACACCAACTGTGAGCAAGGGAAGCAGCCTTCCCTGCCAGCTATTTTTAACCTCATTCTGCTGTAGTTAAGACCAAACTTAAGATAATAATAACGCAAGGAAAACTTTAAAAATATAAATTTGGAGAAACATATTCCCTTTTATTTGTAAGTTCCTTAACAATGGAATCCTATATACTCTTTTGAACTGAATCTCCAGGGACTACGTACTGTATTAAAAATCTATAGCTGTTAAAAAATAATACAGTCATATGTTCTGGGTCCTAAACTTATAGCCATGTATGAGGGCTGCTTCTCCCTCTTCAACTACAAGGCTTGCTCATCCACTTTGTGATCTTCTCTTTTAGGGCAGATCTCATCCATTCTCTGTTCTTAACTACGCCTTTACTCACTGACACAGATTCCCCTCCCCACAAAACAGAAATACTGCACCTATTTTTCAGCTCTTCACTCTCCATCAAATACTTTGAAAAGGACACGCAACCCTACATTGTCAGCATATCACTGTCAGGAAATTGTATCAGTATCCCACTCTGAACCCAAAATTTAATGTCCAAAACAAAATCTACTGTCCCATCTCTGAATTATTCTTATGAGAAACTCTTACCACACTAAAATTCTGCAAGCATCTCTATTTCCACTCATCCTTCTGATGGCCAAGCTGTAAAAATGTGGATTCCTTAGAAAAACAAAATCCTGATCTAGGCATAATGCTTTTGCCCTAAAATGTAATCTCTCCCTAATTATCTGAAATTACCCTTTCAGGAACAGTCGTCAACTGCTTCCTTGGGCTGTAACCATCCATCTACACAAACTCTAACTGACCCTAACCCTACCCAACAAGCTCCGTTTGAAGGCATTTCCATCAAGCTAACATCTAATTATATCTATCCCTTGCATTCCCCATTCCAAAAGTCTGAAACTGTCCCTACTTGCGCTGCTCTTCCTGAAACAGACTTTCTCAGATTTGGCTCAGATATTCCAATTAGCTCTATGTAGTCCAAAACCAACAATTCCCTAATGAAAAGTGTACAAATATATTCATAACTGTAAGATAACAAACAATGCATCCAGCACATAATGATCTTCAATTAATATTGGTGCACACCCCTTCTCAATAGAATCATATTTAACTGTCTTTGCCAGTAAAAGCACCGCAGCAAGGGACCCTCCAATATTTTGTCATTTTTAGCCAAATAACCAAAAACATATTACCACAATTTTTAACCAAGTTATAATGAAAGTAAGTACCAAAGCTGGTAAGCAACTTTGACCAAGGGCAATCTACACTCAAACTAGTTCCTTGATTTATATTCCTCTCCTCCCAAAAAAAACCTATGCAAGACTAGATTTCTCATCATCTCTGTGAAAAATGGAATATATGACTTCCTCAAGGTCACAAAATAAAGTAATATATCCAACACTATTTGTTTCTGATTCTACATCTAACCTTACATCCACTGTTCAATATTTTCATGTCAATCCCCATTTAAAATATATAGAATTTGAGGTTATCTCATAAAACCACAAGAACAAGGCATCTTAAGACAAGCACAGTACAGAAGTTTCAGAGTAAAGCTAAGTTTTCAAAGAAATGGAAGACATTCTCAAACAGAAAGAGTTGGGAAAGAATAATCAAAATCTATAAAACTAGGAAAAGATAAACTCAGGCCTGTTCTAGTATTTCTCAAAACACAAACTGAATGTGTCCTGAAACTTTATGCAGATAGGTTTGAGGTAAATAAATGAATTGCTACATAATACAGAAGCCAATAAGCTTGCAAAGCTCATTACTTTAAAAGAGAAAAAGTATAGAAACAAACTACTGTTAAGTTTGAGAAAGTTTTAAATAAATGTAATCATTCTCCTGAATGGAGAAATCAAGACAGACAACCCCAGGTGACCTTCAATCCTACAAAGCATCTTTAGCGTTTTAGAGAACCCACAGTTCATTCTGGATGGGCCAGAATTCTTATTCTAGTACTGCCTGGTGCCTTATTACACAAAATTCCACCTCTGTTTAACCCTTAAAGACCATATGAATCCATGAAACTTTAATTTTACGCACCTCATGACTCATCTGGCACTCTAGAAAGTCAGCCGAAACATAAGTCACAGATTCTACAAACTTCAACTTGAAAATAATAGAAGGGGAAAAGTCACTCTTGAAAAAATTCAGTATCAAGAGTTTCCTCCTAAATTGAACAAACAAGCAAAGTCTAAAAAAAAGAAATTCGGCTGAAGAAAATGTAACAACTTTTATAAAATGGTTTAATGCAGTAAGAGCTCTCTCCCATGTAAGCTGTAATTCACAAGAACTCAAGAATTTCTGCAGCAACTGAAACGTATTACAGTACTCCCGTACAGTTGGTAATAAAAATGAAAACCCGTCTTTTTCTCACTGAAGACTGCAAGAAGGGGGTTATATGGTAAGTGTTTCCCACTTGGGAACCCTTAGGAGAGCTCCCCAGAAACAAAAACTGTATGTAGCGCTATATCTCTGCCGATGTACCAGAAAAAGGTGCATTACAGAGACGTTCTTGGCATACACACAGATTCTGGCTTCCTTAACTTTCCTCTGACAATTCCTGGCCAGAGAGGTGTAGGACCCTGGCTAGAACGCCTCTAGGAGAAAACTACATAGTTGCATTACTCCTGCAAACTAAAAGGTTACAAAAACACTACCTAACACCTTCTGCCTCCTGTAAGACACAAACGTCTATATACCTTCTCACCTATACTCAGACACTCCTGGAAAACTGCAAAATTCCAGACTGAAGCACCAGCGTGCTCCCACTTTCTACCCCTCAATCCCCTCTCCTGAGGCCACTCACGCGTTCGAGAAGGGCGCTGAGAAAGTGGGTTGGTTCCCTTCCTCCTCCGGACTGAGACAGCAGCTGCGGAAGGCTCCGGCGCGTAACCGCGTAACCGAGGAAGAAGCAGTGCTCCAGTCGATCAGCCAGGAGGCCACCCGGGTCTCTTCCGCGCTGCCGGCCAAGAGGAGGCGGCGGCCCCGATCACCTCCTCTTTTCCTCTTCCCAGGTCTCTTCAGGCTGTGGCTTCTGCCCTTCCAGGGCCACTTGTCCCGGGAGTCACGTTCGGCAGACTCCGGATCGTGTTTTTATAAAGTTTCCTCTGGGCGTAGGCAGCAGCCGGCCCCCCGGGTCCCCCCCGGCCCCGCCGCCCTGGGGGGCTGGGGCAGGGGAGGGGGCTCTGAGGACTCCCGGGGTCCTGCCGAGGAGCCGGGGGGCCGGCGACTGGCCGAGAGAGAAGACCCCCTGAGGGGCTCAGGGGAGGGGGAAGGTTACGAAACGACGGCGGCGCCGGTCCCGCACTCCCCGCCGCCGCTTCACATCGGGGTCCCCGGCCCCCCGGGCGGGGGGTGGCTGCTGGTCTTAGGGCTCCGGCTCATACACTCCGGGGCCAGATGCTACGGCCCCGGGCGGGTGGCCGCGGCGGCGGCAGCGAGGCGGGGGACCCGGCCGGCTCCGCTCGGCGCCGCCCCCGCTCCCGGCTCCCGCATGTGTCGCCGCGGCTGGGACCCCCCTCCCTACTACACCCTGGAGGTCCTTCGCCCCACGCCCCGGGACGAGGCAGGAATTCCAGCCCCTCCTCAGCGTCCTCTCACCGCGAAGCAGCTACCAGTCCCGACCCGCGGTGGCCGCCTCCCTGCCCCCAGCCGCCGGCTCCAGCTCCGGCTCCGGCTCCGGCGTGTGCAGCAGCCGCCGCCGGCCGGGAAGGTGAGGGGGGGAAGAGGGGGGCGGCCGCGGCTCCTGCTGGCCCAGGTTGTGGCTGAGGTCTCGGCGGCGGCCAGGGCACCGGAGCTGGGTCCCTCGGATGCTCCCTCGCGCTCACTCTCTAGGCAGCAGTGGCGGCAGCGCCCGGAGCTCCGCTCGCTGTCTCCCTCGCTCTGTGCGGGGCTCTCGCCTCACTCCAGAGAGAGGGGCGGGAGGAGAGCGGCGCCCGCTGATGACGCAAGTCGCCTAGCAACCGCTCTTCTCCCCCTCCCTATTCTTGCCGCTCCCAGGCTGGCTCCGCTGGCCTTTTTCCCCCCCTCTCCCTACCCCGCCCTGGGCGCCTGTGGCGCGCGCCGATGACGCTAGAAAGGAAGAGGAAGTCGAGGATCCGCGAGCGGGTGGGTGCGCCTCGGGCTGCGGGAGTCTCTGCTGCCGCTGCCGCCACCGCTGCCGCCTCTACGGCCGCGTCAGAACTGAAGAGAGGAAGGGGAGGAGCCCAGCTGAGCCTAAACTGCCGCCTGATCTTACCCCTGACCCGAGGGCCGCAGAGAGAGTTTGCTCTGTAGCGGTTTCCTCCGAGGCAGGTAGCGACTGCTCCTTTGGGAACAAGAAGGAGCCAGGCGGTGGGGCCGGGCTGGGGCGCGCACCACCCCAAGGTGAGGCATGTGGCCCCGGACAGGCCCTGGAAAAGCCAACTCATGGAGAAGTTGTGCTACTGCCTGATCGTTGCACCTGCTCTGGGGAGCGAGCGCCCCGCCCTTCCCGTGGCGTGGGGTGAGACCTAGCGCGGGGTGACTTGCGGTCGGGCCGAGCAAAGGTTTGCTTAATGAACGAATGCCTCTTTCGCTTGGCCCTCGCGGAACTCTTCGGAGGATGAAAGCGCAAGCGCTTTGTAAACTGCAGCGCGTTGGAAAGATGAGAATTGCAATGCACCCGTCCCCTCCCCCGAGCCGTGAAAGGAAACAGGGTGAGGCTTGAGTACAGAGTCACAGGCTGAGTCTCTAGTGGAAAAGGAGGAGAGTTGCTGGGGAGGGGGAAGGAGGATTGAAAGGGAGCCTTCCTTCCGGGAGTTGGTGGCGGGACTTTTCACTGGTTTTCATGAGGGAGAACAGTAGTACCTCACTGTTAATGCTTCGTGCTCACGGTCCGAAGCGTTGTTCATCATTGTCCCTCACCGCCGTCAAGAAATGTTGGCTTGCGTTTCATGTCTAACCCAAAGGCTATTATTTTCTTTGTGAAATAAACATTACTACGATTGTGTGGCTTATCCTATAGTTGTTATACTCGGAAGTAAATGCAGGTAAAAACTCCTGCAACTTAAAGTATAGTTTTCTAGGGACAGAAATTTTAAGATAAAAGGAGCAGAAGCCTCAATCTGTCTTTAACTTACTTTACTGCTGAGTAGTGTGAGAATGAGATTAAAGCAACAGCAATGATGAAACGAAGCAGAAGCCACAATTACGACGCAGAACCCTGGCACACCCTACCTCCTCTGGAAACTTCAGCAGTGGGTATTACAAGCCCTTCCACCTTTTGGGGAGTGCAGGTAAAGCAACTGTATTACTGACAAATTTGGGAACCCAGGGTTTCTGCCACTACTTCATCATATGCAAAACAGTAGACCAAGGAAACAATTGGGTAAATACAAGGGTAAACAGTTGGGTAAATACTCATTATTATTAAAATGCTGCAGAAAAAGTGGGTAGGAGAAAGGAAGATAGAGGACCTGCAAAAGAAGGAGAGATAAAAGTTGCACCTGGCCCTCCTGCCCTCCCCTAAAGTTCCAAGGGTCAGGTTAAACGTTGAATTTAGGGTCTTAACATGACCTGCTCTCTCTTGCCAACTAAGTTTCACTCGGAATCAAATCGACAACCCATGGCCTCACATACCTACAAAATCTTTTCTGCTTTTGCACCTCTTCCAGTCCTCCAGCAGGAGAGTGGTGGAAATTAAGAGTTAAACACAAATTGAGATTCTGTGAAGCTGAGCACTTCATAGGTTAAGTTTTGTGGGCTTGAATGAAAACCATCCGACCTCTGGAGCGCTCTGCAGCACACGAGGTCACCTCCAGGAGAGTGTGTCGCCACATAGGGGCTTTCAAAGGCTTCATCTGCTTCCTTGTCAGTGGTGCCACTGTAGAACCTTAGTACAGAGGGACAGAGTGGCACTTGACAGCTCTGAGCTGCACTAGTTTACCAGCAGAAGCCACCCACTCAGCACCCAGTTGGTTATAAACAGCTGGAACTGGCCTCTGGAAAGGAGGAAATTCATACTTTTCCAACTCGCTCTGCATCTTTTTAGTTCCTTATGTTGCCTATGAATCTGGAGGAGAAAACAGTCCATTCAAAAACTCCACAAACTGAAGTTTCAGGTAACACTTCTCTCCTTGGTCCATCAATTTATGATAAAGATCTGTGTACTATGTTAATGAAATATAACAAAGGGACATTTGTACAAGGTTCACACCTATGCTTCAGAGTGAGCTCTGGTGAATAATCAGTGTTTCATTATCTCACATGGGTGGTTTCTGCTGTCAGTGATTGCAATATACTGTTATCTGCCAAATTTTCCCTCTACTATATCAATTAATTTTAGCATTTTTGTGAAATACACTTTAAATGTGTAAAATAATTATATAATATAATGGGTAATTATATAAGTGAGCAGTCACCCAGGCAGGAAGTATTGCCAGCACCCCAGGGCCCCTTGGTGACCTCCCTGAAGAAAAACTCTACACAGAGGTAGTCATGCTAACCTTTGTGGTAATTGTTTCTTTGACTTTCTTGTTTTTTCACAGGCATGTATCCTAAGCAATATGTTGTTTAATTTTGTCCTTTTCTTTGAGCTTTATGTAAATGAAACAGTTGGTGTTTAATATGTTGTGCTCCCTGGATTTCCTCAACACTTTTAATCCATACAGTGTTCACATTATTCCTATAACTGTAATTTGATCGTTTTAATTGCTATATATTATAATGTTCCAATGTAGTAATATGTGACAGTTTGTTTAGCCATTCTGTAGTTGATAGACATCTGGGTTATTCAGTTTGGGGCTATTATACATGCTTCATTCCTCCTAGATGCATTCCATCACATCCACATCAGTTTCTGTATACTCTGTACTTGAGAGTGTATAGTATAAACTTGAATAAATAATATCACACTGTTTTCCGAAGTGATCCACTCACACTAGCAGTGTATGAGTCCCATTGGTGCACACCTCGCAACATGGTATTGTCAACCCTTTTCAGTTTTGCTAGCCTGGTGGGTGTGGGATAGTGTTGCCTTGTGGTTTGAGCCCGCGTTTCCCCAATCACTGACACTGTTGAGGACCTTTTCATACATCAGCTGACATTTGGATTTCTCTCTTGTTAAGTGTGGCATTAATATTTAATGCCTAATCTCTGAAGTGCCCAGTTTTCCAGTTTGTTTTTCTTGTCCACATTTGAGCAGTAAAATTTAGGTAAACTAATGCAACCAAATTAGTTATATTTGAGGCAGATCCTTCCCAAACTAAAAAAAAAAATTATGGTTTACCTAATTAGCTTTTATGAATGTGATACTTTTGCTTCTTAAAAGTAGGTCAGTGAAACTTTTTAAAATTCTTTACCTTCCAAAATTACCATCTTTCACCTATTAAACTATTACTGAGCCACACATTGGTCGTTTTTGTTTTTTGTTGTAGTATGGTTTCCCTAAAGTACATAAAGGCAATTTTTATTCACTTGGAACTATCTATATAACTGTCCGATGTCTCTGTTCTGTATTTTTCTGTTAGAAAACTGTAAGAAACTACACATATTTTTCTCAAGTTCATTGGTTTTATAAAAGTCACAATGGCTTTTTCTTTTTCTCTAAAGTTCCTACTAAAATATATTTTTTAATAATTTTACTCATCAACATATATTGCCTGGCAAATTTTCCCAACTGGCTACATTTAATTGTTTATTATTTTCTTATCTCAGTTCTTTGTATAGTATTGGTGAAATTTTAAAACTGAAGGAAGCTGAGACGCAGCAAAATTTAGTGAGTCAGGAAAGCAAGTAAATAGGCCTAGACTCCACCCTAAATCTTCAAATACAGTAAACTTGCCATTATATCGCACTGACTCGGTCTTCTGCAGCAATAAGGTAAATTAATTCCCAGATCTGTAGAATATTGGTCACTTCCACATGATGAACCTTGTTCTACAGTTGAATAAATTATTTTAAGCCTAACAGCTTTAGGATCAGATTAAAGATTGACATTAACAGAAATACAAATTTTAAGATTAATATCAATAAAGCTAAAACAAAAACTTGCTTTAAACAAAGTTTCTCCACTCTCCCCTTCATCTCATAGACAATCAGTTACTAGGTCCCTTTGCCTGTTCAAAGAATCGCCATACTTCTTGGCATCTGCAAAAAGTTTCACAAAATAAAGCAATGGTTAGTAGTGTCATGTTGCAAGAAAGGCCCTTGGATTTGGAGATAGAGCCCTAATCATTTCATAATGCTGTTAAAATGTGTTGCAAGAATAGCGGCGGGGGGGGGGTGTTTTGGTGAAAGAGTTGCTGTTTTGCCTAGGCTGGCTTCAAACTCCTAGACTCGAGATCTTCCTGCTTCAGCTTTCCTAGAAACTTGGACTACAGGCATGTGCCACTGTGCCCAGCTGGATATCAGAATTTAGTGACATTTTGAACAAATCAACCTAGAAAACTTTCACATGTGGGATTTCCCCTTGTTTCCTTGCTCATCATCTGAGTTTGCAAAAGATAGATTCTGAAAGCGAGTGATAGGTCACTACTGATTTTAATAGAAAATAAATAACTTTGAATTACTAGTAAACTTTGATAATTGAACCTTAAGGCTTCAGAGGAATCTCCAGGACCCAGGCCACTTGATTTTTTTATAATAAATAGCCATGAAATATGTAACACAATCCAGCTATTATTTTTAAAATAAAATAGTGAAACAGGCTTAAAGAAAATAACTTATTAAAGTAGGCTTAGATATAACTTGGTGGAGCAACAGCTTTAAAATATCTAAGTTGGGGCCAGGGATTTAGGTCAGTGGTGTCGCTGCCTGCCTCGCAAGTGCAAGGTCCCGAGTTCAATCCCTAGTACCAAAAAGAAAAAAAATTCTAAATTAATAATTATCAAATACCAGGTATATAAATATTATTTATGTTTTAACTTTCAGAAGGCAGTGATATATATATATATATATATCATATATATATACATACATATATATACGGCATGAAAGAATTAAAGTAAGAGCATAGGATTTTCACATTGACCTCACCACCCAATCAACAAAATTACATGTGTCACCTGCTCCCTAGCACTTGGCTAAATACTGGCTATACAATAGTGAGGGAAAAACCTTGTGTCTTGTCCCTTGCTTCATGGAGCTTACAGTCTGGTACCTATTTTGTTAACCCCAAACCTATCACTGAAAACATTTTGGCTTACATACCTGGTGATATGTTCTTTGGATAAAAGGGTTACTGCTTTTGTTCTCTTGATAAGCAAATAGACTAAAAAGACTAATGTAAAGAGACTTAATTCGTTTCAAAATTTTATTATGGCAACTTTCTAAAAATACAGAAATATTGAAATAGTAATTCAATGTATGTTCATCCACTTTCTACCTAGATTCAGTCATTGTTAACATTTTGCTGGGTTTGCTTTCTATACTTTTTCTGGATCATTTGAACTAACTCATAGGCATCATATTTCACTCCAGGTCTCCCAAGTACTTCAGCAGGAAAAAGTTCTAAATAAAAAAGGATATACTTGTACATAACCCTAACCATTAGTTATATCTAAGAAGTCTGTATCTAAATTCAGTTCAAGGGTCAGGGATGTATCTCAGTGGTGCCACGCCTGTCTGGCAAGCAAAAGGTCCTGAGTCTGAGTCCTGATACTGGAAAAAAAATCCAGTTCATATTTAAATTTCCCTTTCCCAGCCATACTTTTTATGG